GTCCCCTCAAATGCTCTAGGAAGCTGGTTGTGGCATCATGTCCATTTTACAACTGAGGAAAAGCAGGAAAAGAGAGTTCAGTAACTTGCTCAAATCATTAGTAACAGTCACAGTCAGTAAGTTCCAGAACTAACATTTTAACTTAGCATCTAGCTCCAACATCCTTGCGCTTAGTCACTGTGCTGTGGTGATCTCTAATGATGCTGGTACAATGTAAGAGAAGAAATGTACATTTTTCAGGCAAAAGCTTTTTTTTTTTTTGCACAAATCATGGCCCTTCCCTTGGGAAGGGGTTAAAAATATCTTCTTTAACACTGCTGAGCAACATTCTAAAAGTTGGTACCCACTGAGAGCTGCCAGTGAGATAGCAGTAGGTCACACTGTCAAGTACATACCTATCCAGCTGGACATTACTACCCCTGCAGTTTCTCGAACTAAAAAATGCTTCTCTTCCAAATTATACCACCAGAGTCGGTTATAATAAACAATTGGGTCCAAAGGGGATTTTTTAAATGTATTAAATTTATAGCTTCATTGACTTTTCACAATTGGAAAAGTGGTTTAAACAAACAACCACTTATCAACCATTAGCATATAGACATTCTTTGTTTAAACCGATTTAAATCCACTGTGTGTGTGTGTGTAGAAATTAAGTGGAAAAAGCAATTTGATAACCATGTGGAATAACATAGTCATTGTACTTAAGTATTAAAGTTGGTTCTGAGTTTCCCTGGGCCCAGCAAAGGGGAAAACAGAAGTTTTGTCTCTCGCGGTATAATGTTTATCTGTTACAGGGCTTAGATTTCCCAAATATTGTATTAAGTCATTTAAGAAGAACTAAATTGCCTAAATTCACACAACCAGAAATAGTAAAACAGGACTCAAAGCCAATAACTGTCTGCATATTAAATGCATTCTTTCTAACTCTCCTTTTATTAGGGATTAAAAAAGAGAGACAAAACAGCTTTTTTCCTCACTGAAAATTACAAGTGAAATTTCTCACAGTTTTAAAAATTTCGATGACTATCATCAAAATTTGGGGACAGGATAGGAAGAAAGAGAAACCCAGAGACAGACCGAGGATATGGTTTTTCCCTCAGCCAAGCCTTCATAAAAAAGAACTAGATATCAAAAGAAGTACAGTGTGCTTCCAAGGTTCCTCACGGAAAGGTCCTCTCTCTGCACAGGATGGGAACTTTGGATTTGAACAGCTGAACCACTCAACTTAGTCCATTTCTCCTACATGCAAAACAAGAGACCTCCGAGTTCTAGAAAACTGGACACAGAGCTGAAGGACACAGTCTGTTGTCTTTCTGTGCCTAGAGCAGCCATGGCTCATGGTCCCAAGAAGCATCTGAAGTGGGTAGCAGCTCTAAAGCATTGGCGGATGGGTAAATTGGATAATATACCTGCTCCTTGTCCATCCACTGGTCCCCACAAGCTGAGAGAATGTCTTCCTCTCACCATTTTTCTAAGAAACAGACTTAACTGTGCCCTGACAGGAGATGAAGTAAAAAAGATTTGCATGCAGCGCTTCATTAAGATTGATGGCAAAGTCTGAACTGATATAACCTACCCCACTGGTTTTATGGATGTCATCAGCATTCATACGGCTGGAGAGAATTTCCATCTGATCTATGACACCAAGGATCATTTTGCTGTTCATCGTATTACACCTGAGGAAGTCGAGTCCAAGTTGGGCAAAGTGAGAAAGATCTTTGTGGACACAAAAGGAATCCCTCATCACGGTAACTCACAATACTCGAATCATTTGCTAACCTGATCCCCTAATCAAGATGAATGACACAATTCAGATTGATTTGGAGACTGGCAAGATTACCAATTTCATCAAGTTTGACATTGTAACCTGTGTATGGTGACTGGAAGTGCTAACTTGGGAAGAACTGGTGTCATCACCAAAAGAGAGAGAGAATCTGGCTCTTTTGTCGTGGTTCATGTATAAGATGCTAACGGCAACAGCTTTGCCACTGGCTCTCCAAAATTTTTGTTATTGGCAAAGGCAATGAACCATGGATTTCTCTTCCCCCAGGAAGAGAAAGGCTGAAGAGAGAGGCAAGAAACTGGTGGCCAAACAGAGCAGTGGGTGAAATAAATGGTCTTTAGGTGACATGCCTAGAGAGTAGAGATCTTTGTACTTAATTAAAGAAAATATAGCAGGATGAGAAAAGAAGGAAGAGGAGGAGGAGGAGAACACAGTCTTCTCATTCTGCACAGCAGTGTCTCAAATCGCCAAAAAAAAAAAAACAGACAGACACCCTCATACAGCAGCCATTTATTTCCTTTCAACCTATGCTAAGGAATCTAAGAACCGCAGCCTGCAGCGTGCCACCTTGTGGAAAGGAGAGAAGTTGCAACTGCCTGATGGACCACCAACCCTCAGCACAAACAGGGAAGTCAAGCTGTGCTCAGGGGCCCAGGCTCCAAGACTCCATGTATTTGGAAATGTGGAGTTACTTCTGTACCCTCTCCAAGGGTCATCCCTAGAACACGTAGATAAATGACCAAAAAGGGTTCTTATTGGACACACTATAGCATTGTTGCAAAATCAACACGAAAAATCATGAACTTGGAGTCAGTGAATCTGTTTCTGCCACTAACTACTTCAGTGAACTTAAACAAGTCTCTTAATTCTCCAGGTCACATTTGCAACTGAGAAAGACAAAGTGATCTATAGGGGTCCATCTTGCTCTAACAAGGTGAATCTATCATTAGAGAGAATCTGCCTTCTCTCCAATCATTAATGGCCTTTAGATTTCTAATCCCTTTTGTTCATCATCACCAAAGTCACCTGTGTGAGATATAGCCATGCTCTTGTACCTCCTGTAAGGGAGCTTACAAAACTACCCACAAGGGACCCAGTTGCCTATAGCTCTTTGTCTACAGCTGTGCTCACTCATTCATTCATTATTCATTAAGGAAATATTGGTTGTGTGTTCCCCACTGGCCCCAAGTCAACACTATCTTGGGCACATGAAACTACTCGCTTTTCTCCTAACATTAGGCTTTCTTATACCTCTGACCTTTGCAGGTGCTCCTCCCTTTGCATGGAAAGCCTTTCCCTTATTTTCCTCCAAACCATTTCATATTCATCTCCTTTCTGACATTTCCCAGCAAACTGTCATCCTAATATTTTGTATCTGATCATAGTATTTAGTACTCTGCTTTGAAATCACATATGTACATATGTAATCATAAAATATCTTGACACTCAGAAGTGTAATTATTTTTTCTCCCTTCAGTCCTTCATTTCTATACTTGAACTGATATCCACAGGGATTTTTTATATATGTGATCCTTGGGGTAGGGCAATTTCTGCAAAATGAGCAGAGAAAGGAAAATTCTCTGCACAGATTTAAACATCAAAATGGACTTGTGAGATTCATAGCGAACTCTGCGTTGGGGCATGGGGGAGCGGGTGTTTGTTGGGGATTGAACCAGGGCCTCACGCATGTTAGACAAGGGCTCAGCCACTGAACTATGTCCCCAGCCAACCACAGTAAGCTCTTGATAGCCAAGAGAGAAAGATTTTTTAAGTTTCAAGAGCTTGAAAGATTTAAATACAAAAGTCAGTATTTATATCTTAAGCAAAAGATTCTGGAATAAATAGTGAGGAGTTAGCCTCTCCAACCACTCCCTTTCCCCTACTCTCAACAGATTGAATAAAAGAATAAGGAATGGGAGCCAGGCACCTGCTACCTGCCAATCTCAAGTCAAGTCCCAGGTGGGAGTGAAGACAGATATTTCACTTCCTCCCTGGAACCTGGAAGGCAGCAATGATGCAGGTGTGCTCTCAGCCAGTGGCATGTTGGCAGTAAAGGAGAAAAAGTGGTATGCTGTATCTAGGCAAGGGAGGCATAAAAGGGCCTCTAAGTTTCCCCAGGGAGGCATGGAGACTGGAATACGGATATGCATGTGCCCCGCAAGAAACACAAGAAATGGATAAAAGGGCTGGGGCTGTAGCTCAGTGGCAGAGCACTTGCCTAGCATATGTGAGGCACTGGGTTCAATCCTTAGGACCACATAAAAATAAATAAAATAAAAACATTCTGTCCATCTACAACCATAAAAAAAATTTAAAAAGAAAAATGGATGAAGGACAATGGGTGAATCTAAAGGACCAGAAGACACAATGAGAAGGATGCAAAATGACCACATGGCCATAATGACTAGGAATTCTGCGAATGATTGCTGCCAACACTGCCCCCTTCCATAGACATTTCTGGCTTTACCTTGTATCTCCAGTGGCTAGCATAGAGGCTGATAAATGTTTGCTCTGTAAAATAATATAACAGGAATGGTGAAGCAATAAAGTGTTACTATGAACCTGGGTACTATTTGCACCATTTTCCTTAATTATCCATGTCAACAACCCTCAAGAACCACCAATAATAAAATAACTCTAACACCAGTACTCTGAAGAGGAAATATGACAAACGAATGACATGAATACAGAATTTCAAACTCTTGAGGGCTATACCATCTGTGAGTACAAACTGAGACTAAACATAAACACCTCAAGTATTTTTAAATAATATTTTATTATATTAGTCCTGCATATATTAATTTTTATGCCAACATTTTATATAATCAATAGGTCATAAATATATGGACAATTCCCTTGCAAATATAAATATTTAGTAGTTCAAACCAACCTCATGAACATGTAGTTATTGCTTCCTACAGACATGTGCCAGATCCTTGTCCCCATCCTTACCAACCCATCACACCCTACAAAGTCCCTCCCACACTCTCATTATAAATACATTTTCTGCATTTCCAACTAGGGGAAACAGAGGCCTCTTTCCCCAAAAGAGATCCCAGGGAATGGCACTGGATCAAGGTAACTATGTGACTAGGAGGTGGTCATTATATGACGTAAAGAGAGTGGGCCAAGGACTCCTTAAATTTCCTCCATCCATTGTTAGGGGGTCAAGACATTGTAACATGTCAGGACTATGTAATGATTCTAAAACACCCAGAAAATTAACTCTACATTTAATACAGAGCTTTGAGAATTCCATGCAGATCTCACTACGAGCCCTAAGAAGTGAAGAAAATGGGGATCAGACAGGACTTGTTGCAGAGAGGTGGGTAAGGAGTGGCATTTCAATAGCTTCCTCAGAAGAGTTGATGTACAGCTGTCAGGCCACGTGGTGGACGATGGGGGTGACACAGGTGCAACCAACAGTCACCCGCACTTTCTCCAGCCGGAAGGAATGAGAGCAGTCCTGAGGCTCCCTTCGAAGGACCAGGATCTCTTGCTGGATGGCAACCGAGTTCATGGAGTTATCTTCCTGACCCTGGGCATTGATGCAGCCCAAGTGTCTGCACTGGGCCTCTGCAATCTCGGAGGGGAACCGGTGGGGGTCCCTGGTGATGCTGCAAGAGTAACAAGCCAAAGTGAAATGGTGAGACCAGAGAAAGGAAGATGGACCATGGATAAGAGCCCGTGGCAGTGGGCTTTCGCCTACAGGGGAGCAGCTCTGAGTAAGAAGGGTACTGGAGCCAGGCAGCCTGGGTTCATATGCCACTCTTGGGCAGTTAACTCCCTAAACCTGTTTCCTCAATAATAAAATGGTGATTCTCCCATATCATTCTCTGGTGGGATTGTGGAGAACATTCAGTGATACAAATGCATATACAATACACCCCTACAATATTAGCATTCAATTAATGTTAGATCTTTGAGTTCATTTTTATTTGCATTATCATGATGATGATCATTGCTTATCCTTTACCTAGAGATTGAACATCACCACTAGATTTCCCAATATACAATCTATAAAGCCTGCTACTTGGAGGAAAAGCAAAGCCTTATGTCTGAATCCAGGGCCTTCTGCTAGTTTTTCTCTCAATAGTCCCTTCTGCCTGGAAGTATGAAGTATGAAGAGAATCAGCCAGTTTGCCAAGGTACATGCTCCTCTTGTGGGGGATCTATGCTACGATCCCCAAAAACCTGAAACCTGTTTTCATGCTCATTTTTGGAGAGTAGTGGTGGTGCTTTGTGTTCCTAGGACCTATATCTTAGGACAAAACCACAAGACTATCACCGAAGGTCCCCACACTACCATCCACTTTCCAAAATGGCCTTTCTCCCCAACTCTTCCTTCATACCCATGCCTTGAGGACAATGTCAAATTTGAGTGGCTCTCTCCTAACTGACTTTTCTGGTTCCCATTTATCTTCATTTAAAAGACCCTTTCTTCCTACACAAAAAGTTTGTAAATTCCAACCTGGAACTGGATGAATCAAAAAAAGGCAGAAAGTCAAGGAGAAAGTGCAAGCAATATATTACCACCTTCAACCACAGAGGTAGACATAGCCCAAAACAGCAAGAAAAATCGGAGCTCGCAAGGAAAGTAGAACTTCTGTTGTTCAGACTGAATATGAGGGCTTTTTTCTTCCATTTGTACATATTACAAATTTTCTACTTTATGATTAAAATAAATAACCATGTTTTCAAAAGGATGTGAAGATCTGTCTCCTGTGCACTTACTTGTAATCCCATGGGGAGATGGAGCGGTTCTGAAAGTCATGTGATATGACAATGCCCTGGTTTTGATTGAGGATGCGAATGTCAACCTTCACACTGTTGTCCTCCAGAGGAGGGCAGTTCCCAGGCTTCTGGAGGACAGGAGCCATTGTTTTGGGGTTTTTTCTGGCTGCTGCTTCCCTCAGAAAGGCAAACCCCAACATCAATAGCAGCAGACACTTGACCTGGAACATACAGAAGATTGCAGTTGGTTGGACTCTTGTGTCACTTGCAGGCATGAGAAAATGCATGATCTAGATGAACCAAGCTTTCCTGGTCCCTTAGTGAGATCAGGGCTTCTCTCTAGACCCCAAGTCTTCACCTGGAAATTGGAACAGTCATACTTGAAGATATTTGGGTGCCAAACAGAAAAGTAATCTCATTAGCCTAGCACTTGAAGCCCTCCATAGTTCAAGACCTTATAAGCAGGGAGACAGAGAGATGTAAAATCTGGGACTATGTTTAAATCTTGTCTTGGCTTCCCTATTAAGCCCCTGGTTTCTCCTGTTCCCAAATGTATGATAATACTCAGTTTATATGATTTATGTGAAGCCCATATACGTCTGTTAGACAAAAACAAAGGCTTAAAAAAATGACCACTTTTGTTTTTATTCCCAACCTCAGATCCCTCAAATATTCACAAAATCCTTCCTCCCAACCATCTATCCTCTTAAAATTCACTGTCCCACCTCTATCTGTTGAATCATATCCTTCCATCAAGGCCCCACTAATTTGTGGCTTAATTAGATGTTTACCATTATTAAATAATAATTTTACCATTTATCACTCAAGCAGCATTTTTATATTATCTAGAAATGTAGTATTTGTGTTCATGTCATATGTACATCCCTTAGATTATAACTCTCTGTATGATAATGGGCATAGTACAGGTGTTCCATAAATACTCTCTGAATAAATGAAGGAGTGGATGAGCAAATGAACAGAATGACACATTTAAATTAAACAATATGGTTATGCTTGATGCATTAAGAAAAACATTACGAAAAACCAACTATAGCAAAGTTCCAATTATCTGTGCTAATTGAAAGAAGCAGGGGCGTTAATGATGCACAACAACAGAGAATATGGAAACTATTTCTCTTTAGCTCTGGAATGTATATTTTATACTATCAGTGATGTATCAGTTTATCTGGTATCATTGGAACACAGAGAAAAAAAAGCACTCTGTGAAAACCAAACTAAAAGGAGAACTAAAAATCTGACCATCTGGCCAGCTTCCCTTTGGCATGACCATGATTTGTTCATCTGAACATCCCCACTGACCCTTATAGGGAATGGACAAGGTCTAAAACAATGCACAAGAAGAGTTAAACCTAGTTGCTTTCATTCTCTGGGCCCAATGTTGTTCAGGTTCACACTTTTCAGGTATGGCAAGTAATTAGACAGGTTGGTTTAAAAGGCTCTCTTATTCTTTTGCAGATGCTGAAGGCAAACAATGAAAAGAGTAAACCAAAAGTTCATGATGTCAACTAGTTGTACTGAGGTAGCTGGTACTAAAAATAGTTGAAAGCAAGGTGATCAGCAGTCATCCACTCTCGTCCCCCACAATCATTCACTCATTCAACAGCTCTCTCTTAACTCTATGCTGTGGTAGCTCTAGAGTCAAATGTCCGGAGTCCATACAGGACTCTTATGACTGTGACTCAGTTTCCTCCACCAGAAAATGTTAAGATCATGGATTGGGGTTGTAGCTCAGTGATTGAGCGCTTGCCTAGCATGTATGAGGCACTGGGTTTGATCCCCAGCACCACATAAAAATAAACAAATAAAATAAAGGTATTGTGTCCATCTACAACTTAAAAAAAAAATAGAAAATGCTAAGATCAAATGCAATGATCAATTCAAAATGAGTCCTACCAGCACATGGTAAGTATTTGATATGGGTAGCAATAGTCAATACTGAGCTAATCCTACACAGTGGAATTTACTTTGTGCACCTCCTATCCTGACAAAGTGCTGTGAAGTTTTTAAAAAAAAAAGATTCCAATTTATATCAAAATGTCCTTAGATAACTCCCCTAAAGTTAAGAAATTTTAGGTTTTTTAGTAAATTCCCTCTTTGAATTTTCTTTCTCCTTGTGTACCATATTCACTGAATCACTTCTATTTTCATGATCAAGGCCTAAAGTAACCATACCTTAGGTTTATGTGATTTAGTAATAATAACCATGCTTCTAACAAGTCATTATTATTTTTACTTAAGAATTCTTGTAGAATTTTAGGAAACATACTTTCACATCTCTTTAAATACTGGACATTAACAACTATGTTGTGAGTTACATAGCTAATATTAATTATCCCAATTAGGTGAAAGAGTTACATCTAAGAAGCAATAAATACCTTGATTGGATTCACCAGCCTTATTAGTGCCAGAGAGACTCCAACCTACATGTCAATGGTTAGAGCTATTGCCATTGCAGGTCATTATTACCAACATTGATCTTAGCTTTGTCTCACTAGAGGATCCAAGCATTTTAAACAATGTGAAAGCTATATTAGAATTGCATAAGTTTTATAGACCACATGGCTCTTTATCAGAAAATCAGATGATGTCTGCAAATCACTCTGGTTAGCTCCATAAAGCTATAGATTTAGTTGTAGATTTATGCAATACAGAGCAGAAACTCTGATAAGGCTGTTGCTGGTTTTTATTTTGTTTTTGTTTTTCAAGTACTGGGGATTGAACCTAGGACCTCAAGTTTTCTATCAGTGAGCTATATCTGCAGGCCTTTTTTTTGGTACTAGGGATTGAATCGGGGCGGGGGGGCACTTAACCACTGAACTACATCCCTATTCCTTTTTATTTTTTATTTTGAGACAGAACCTCACTGTATTGCCCATGCTGGTCTCAAATTTGTTCAGCCTACTGAATAGCTGGGCTCACAGGCCCCCAGCACACAGCTGTTGTTCATTCTTAGCAATAAAACAAAGAGCACTTCTTCCCAGAAAAGTTCAGAGCACTTTATAAACTTGAATTTCTATTGTCACTTACAAAACAGGTAAATAAATATCACTCTCATTCTGTAGAATGAGAACGCTCCAGCTGAAGGTGGGCAGTAACAGGACATGTCCATCCTCAGCCTGCCTTGGCACCTCACTCTATTGTGAGCCCAGCAGAGAGCCCATTTGAATTTTCCCCAGTCTCATCTACAGTTTACACCCACCCCATGTAGGAATGCCCTACAGAAGCTGGCCAGCTAGTAGGTCCATGAGAATTTGTGCTTGCCAAATCTTTCAACGTCTAGTCCAACTCCAAAGCCTCTTGCACTGCCACGTTTCTTGCTAACAATCCATCAGATTTCTTCAAAGAAACCAGAAATAGAAATGGCTTAGGAGAACAAAACTACCTAAAAGATTTTCTTGGACACAGTAGCTTTAAATTTAGCAATCTTGCCTCTGAATCTTTCAGAAAGAAGCATACTGTATTTGGAGCCAGAAAACTTATATTTATGCTTCAGTTCTTGTGTTTACAGTATCCAGTGAGGTTAAATAAATCATTTCATTGAGCTTTTGTTCATTTACATAATGAAGAAGTAATTCCCATCTATTTAGTGGATAATGAGAGTCTTGGGTTAATAATAATAATACCAATTAACACTTATTGAATGCTTTCTCTATCTTTACTATTGCATGATACAAACTATCCAAAAGCTAAGCATGCAAAGATCTTCCACCACAAAGTATAGATTCATTTACTCTCAATGATATCAGCTAATCCACACCAAAAAAAATGCCATAAGGTAAATGCCATTATTATTCCACTGTACAGTTAAGAAAATTAAAGCATAAAGAGGCTAACTAACTAACCTAAAATCCCACATTTATCCAGCAGGGGAGTGAGTCTGACTGACTCCAAACCCTCTAGATACTGCATTTTACCACATTTCTTGTAATCTCTAAAATAATACACAAATATAAAATAAAAGTGTTATCATTGCCATATGCCATGAACCTTTTATGAAATCCAACCTCTTTTAAGTTGCACAGCTTTTAAAAGGAGAATAAAAGAGGGATTATCTTGGCCAATAACATGGTGCCTGATTTCCTAAGCCTTATTTTCATGTACTTCCATATTAAATTCTTCCCAGGCCTTATCTGGCTGATGTCAGGCATTGGCAGGAGTCCAGACACAAGGGAAGGGGATATATTTCCATCACATTAACCTCCCTCTGACTATCAGAGGAACAAGACAATGGAAAAAACAACCTGCTACCAGAAACACAGGAAATTTCTGTCCTCCAGGAGCTGTCCAAAATTCATCACTGAGTGTTTCATTTCTCCTCCAGGATGCTCCTGTGCTCTTGGGAGGATCACGAAACCACTTGGGGTCCCAGCTTCCTTGGGTAAAATACATACGTACGTGTTCCCTAAAGGACTGGCTAAGCTCCCCCCATGAGATAAGAGTTTTAGGCCAACCTAACTCTATCATGAGTGATCACCAGAGACCATGCCTGTCGTTGTGTACCAAGGAATGCACATGCTGATGTGACCAGGGCAACCTGGTAGCTGATTATTAAAAAGAAAATGTATAGATAACACTCAACCATCACCCAGTTGCTAACAGCCTCCAGGGGAGGGAAAGGATCACACTTTCCAAAACAAGCAATCACCCCCTGGACCACTCTCTTCTTGCCTTTTGGTCACACCCACCTTTCAGTCAGGAAGGCATGAGAAGAAAGGAAACCTAAAATCTACAAAGGGCCAAGACACTCCCACTGCCTTGGGCACCAGCTCTGGACCCTCTCTTTTTTGGAGGAGTCTCTCTCTCTCTCTCTCTTATTCCTTAAATAAAACATATTGTCTTCCCTCAGCATTTATTGGGTGTTTAATGTTCAACACCAGGAGAACAAAGACCTGATTCTGATTTTCAAGACTGGTTTCACTAACACCACTGGGGCAAAAATCATCAGTTATGTTTTACACCCCACTGTAAGTTTTCTAATTATTTTTTTCTTTCTCTCCACCAAGCAAGAATCAAAATTAAAGTCAGCTTTTAAAGAAGAAGAAGAAGAAGAAGAATTTTTTTAAAGACTCTAATGAAGGCTAACTCTAGAAATGTGCTTTTCTGAAATCCTAGGAATGCTTACCCTTAAGCTGGAGTTATTGCTACTCACCATTGCTTTATCATGTAGGCTCTTCATTATTTCCCTTCAGTTGCTTGCTTTGTGCAGGAAGCAAGTCTGGTCTCCCTGGGTATGCCTGTGTGTGTCAACAGGAGTACCTGTCGGTTTTATAGCAATCACTGTCCTTGTTTTGAATGACCTGCTTACTGTCTTTGAGTTGTGGTTGACCCAGAGATACTGACATTGCTGACAAATGCAGTTTTGTTGTGTTTTATTTTTTTTTTTCTATTTCACTTCCTGAAGGGGAACCAAAGGGGACCCTTTACAAAAAGGGATGACGGGAAAAGACCAAATCTTCCTTTTCTTCTACCCCACTTCCACCCCCATTACCCTCAAATTATACTAAAATTCTTAGCTGATTTACTACAGAGATGAGCCAAGGTACAAATTACTGTCATGATCTTTTAGATTCTTCCACAAATTGCCAACACCCTCGTCACGCACCATGTGTTCTACTTTCCAGTCATACAATAATCGGAATTAAACAAAAGGACCAAATCTAGCTCCATTTTTTGTACAGGAAATCAAAAAAGTGATTTGCATCAGTGAGACTCAGGAGCTATATCCCCAGGTAGTTTTGTGGACTTCCTGAACTAATTCTAATTAACCCTATGATTAGACCCCTACTAGTCACTAATGGTCATTTTTCATATAACATATAAATGGCTATGCTCTTGGTTATCTCTGATTAATAACCCTTTTTTTAACCAAAATGAATTAGCAAGTAGAAGTCTTCAAATGTTCTGATGTGTAATTTTAAATAATGGTCAAAATTTTCATTTGTCCCAGTTCAGTTCGGATCAATGTTTATGAAGCACATGGTACCCTAGGAATACACAGACATTTCCAACAAATGGTAACTTACCTTTTTAAAACCTCTGTTAAAATAAGGCAAAATTACACATGCACTTTTCAAAAGGCTGAGCACATTCTAGCATCATGAAGTTATTTTCCACTTTTATTAACATGTTTGAACAGGTTTCCTCCATTTTTTTGTTGTTTTAAGAAAAAATTGTACTAATGTGTTAATATTTCAGCAAAGTATTGCAATGGGTTTAAAAGGCAGACACACTATAAGAGGCTATAAAGTAACAAATAAGTTTTATACAATTAAAATGTTACACAGACTTATGGGATACATTGAATAACTACCACTTCCAAGAAAGGTCAAATTCAGCATTAGCACCTATAATATCTTTGAAAGTAAAACTTTTACTGCTTACTGCTTCAAACTCTCATAATATATTTCTTAACTTTCTCCCAAATACAGTGCTCTCAAACCCAGAAAAGAATGAAGGGTATGAGAAACACAAACACTAGGAACACATAGACAAAATAAAAGCTAGAAATATTGACTAAGACTTGAGAGTTTAACTTTGAAGTCACTCACTCAACTGAACCAACCATAAGATTTCTGTTTACTGAATACTGTATGAGGAATTTATGAATCATAAAGAAATTGCCAATATGATTAAAAATTAGCCTATTAAATTTTTCTCACAAGTTATACTTATAACAAAACTATAATTAAAATATTTACTCATTACACATTCAGGGACATAGGTGTTTGATGGGTTAACACCCACTTTATTGTGCTTACTTATTTCCATAATGAACAAGCAACACATACCACATCTTTCCAACATTCAAAGGAATGCAATAATAACATAAAAGTCTCTAAATAACTGTAAATTGCATGCAATACTGCTTTAATTAGGTATTTTCACTATAATAAAACAAATACATTATACATATTTTTTTCAATGAGCTTCAGTTTGAGAAACTGAGCAGCAGAAATCAATCTTAAGATTTGAATCATGGCAAAACTGGTAGTTCTATGAAATCTGGAAAATGCATGAACCTAACTATAGACATAGTCTATCCCTCACCTGGAAAAAAAAGCCTTTTATTAATTTTAGGGAATAAGACTGAACACTGGCTAAGATATGAAGTTTAAAGCCACCTGGAAACCTAACCCAAGAAATGAAGAGAATTCATGGTACTGGTGGCAGGTAAGAAATAAAACATTGCATTGGGCTGACCAACTGCATATTTTATTAAATCACTTTGAATTAAAAAAAATATGAAATTCTTCATTTTGTTTTCTTGGAAATGAATCAGAGTCCTACACAATCTGGAAACACGAAGTGGGTGCTGACAGACTAGAGGTCACTCCAGGTGTGGAATTTTAGAAAATTCGTCCTTGGAGTAAATGGCACTGCAGCTCTGGTAGCAGATACAAAGGAATGATGCTCTGGAGAGGAGGTAGGGACTCTGTGATCAGCCACTGGGTAGATGAGGGTCCCAGCTGGAGGTGGGATCTTTAATTTTATGTTTTATCCTCCACTGCTCATGCCTCTGTCCTCACAAATGGTAATTTCAGCAATTTGAAGTCTTCCCTTGATAGTGTCTTTCCGGGGGAATTTTTGGGGAGCACATATTTTCTCATTCTATCCTTGAATATATTTTGGACTTTCTTCAGAACCTTCTCATAATGAGTTTCCATGCATAAGAAGATGGTAGATGCTGTTAAACAAGCCAAACAGCTTTCAAGATACGCTTGGCCTCCAAGCTTCTCTGCTTCTGCATAAAGGTAATTTAGAGTTCAAACTGATTCTTCAAACTGCTGCCTATCAATCTGGTTCTCCAGCTGTGCCAGGAACTTGGTCTGGAACCTACAGTGTGTGCCACTGCTATAGTCTCCTGGCATCTTCCCGGACACATGGTAAGGACAACACAGGCTGCATGGCCTCTTCTGCCCTCCAGCTGTCAAGTCTTCTTTAGTTAAATAAAATGGAGAGGAAACTGTCCTTGGCTTCATTGGAAAGGTCTCCAAAACTAATCAAAATTCTGTGATCATGGGCCTTTCATCCACTTTGCTCCTGTACATGCCTATGAGTCTTCTCTGCACCTCTCCTCTGCAGAAGTTTAACTCCAACAAGAAGCTTTCTCGAATCATCTTTCAGGCACTGTTCCCTTCCTCATTAACTCTGAGCTTATATTGCACCTGTCTTGCATTCACTTATGTGTTTTAGAATGGTTTTCTAGGGTATTCACAGATTTGGGGTAACTTTAGCCCCTCCCCAGTTATGTCTACAGCCTCTTTCTCCAAATATGCATCCCCAATATACAATCTAAATTAAAACAATGCAGATTCAAGAAAAGTCCCCTACTCAGATTAAAGTCCCCAGGCCCATCTTATAGAGAATTTTAAGGCCTCACCATATACTTTCCACGTACACAGAGAAGCTAGCTTCATTAAAAGCAAGAAGCATGCATTTAGCTGTCAGCTCTGCTTACATCATCCATGCTGCCAAAGCAAGATATGCAAGAGAACCTAAATTTCAGTATGTGGATTGAGTCCCTCACTTTCTTCAGTGGTCTACTCCATACAGAGCTATAGCTCAATGTGCAGAATAATATACCAGCCATCTTGAAGAAGAAACAAGTATATCACTTTTAACCAAGAGTACATAATTCAATCCAAGAGGATTTTATGAATTGTGCAAGAGAACAAAATGATCCCTTATGTAAGAAGGGAGCGACACTGACCTTTATATCCAGTGGTCACAAAGTTTTCTCCCTCTGTGTAAAAAAAAATTAAAAAACTATCTTATCAGGATGCCAGACTAGAGAACTAGTAACTAGCTATCACTAAGTTCAAACAGAATCAACAGATCTGTAGCATTAATTCAATTAGTAATAACATGAGATTGTTGTACTGATAGTACACAGTTAGTTTTAGAAATCTAATTTCAAGAGATTTTGTCCTAATTTTAAAAAGATACATTTAATCAAGATATGCTGCAATATATCTGAAGATCAAGAAATCAAAGTGAGATGCTACCCTAATGCAAGACTGAATAGTAGCATGGTGGCAGCAGTCTGGAGGCAAGCCGTGCAGGTGGTCAAACCTTAGGCTGGATCAAAGACGGTCTGTGCTATGTAACCGCAAAGCATTAGGCAAAACTATTGCCTGCAATAACTTGAGAAGCAGATCTTACACCTAATGACTTGTAGCTCTAGAGAAAAAGATTAGAAAACAATGTTTGTTGTGGGTGTTGGATGCTATATTCTCTATTTGACAAAGTAATACTAGAAGAGAGAAACTCAGGAAGGAGTTGATAGTCTACAAACAAAATAGAACGGTAATAAAGAGAGTTCAGAAGTCCATGATTAAAAAATAGGAAGAAAGGGAAGGAGAGAGGGGCTATTCTATTATCCAAAAGTAGAAGATAAGATTGAGAAAAGTTTTGAGGGAGAAATATCTAGCAAAACTTTCAACCAAATAAATTTTCTAAGGACAAGAATCAGAATGAAGTATGAAGTGAATCCTTTTAATTGGACAAAAAAATGAAAAATAAAGTGTGTAAGAATATAGACAGTTCTTGTAACCTACCTTTAAATCAAGATAGGAAAAGTTATAGGAATGAAAAAGCTAAGAAACAGAAATGTTCTGGAAGTTATGCCTCAAAAAAACTGGACTTAAATGAGAAGTTTGCTAGGTTTTTGAAAGAGCTTTCAAAATTGATCAGGAACCAAACGTCAGTCCCCTAACATTGAGGAGCAGGAACTATAAGACCCCCAAGCCAAACATTCACCAACACCATTTCATATGTGGCTAAAGAGATTACTAAGAGGTCAAAAAAAAAAAAAACTTTCTTTGAATGCCACAAAGTAAAAGAGATGATCCACTCCCAGAACCAGAGTGTGGTATAGAATATTCCAAGTGTCTGGCTATGAGTTCCCAATAATCCAACCAAACCAGGTTTCAAAGTTGCTACAGGTCAAAACTCCCATGCATTTCCTGCTCTATTTCGCTCTATTTCCAAGTACAAGTATTTGTTGCTATTTTCCTGCTCCTATTCTACCTGCTCAGACCTTATATAATGAATTATATACACCATATAGAAACCCTAGATTTTCTTGAGATATTCTGATTGCATGGGGCTTTGGGGTGCTCTTTCTTAGGGAGGGAGTGAAGATATTATGCATGCAAAAACCAAGAAAGGTGAATGGCGATAGGTAAAGTTAAGAGCAACAAAATGCCTCTTACTATGTGAATTGCTTTGGCCCATGAAATGTGAGTGAAAGTGAGTGAAGTAAGTCATTTCCAGGCAGAAGAATGTCAAACCCATGTGTCATTCACCTAACTTCTCTTCTGCCTTGGGGATTATGGAAATATGTGGGGAAATGACAGCATGGCAAGAAGGTGGAGCCCCTATCAACCTCAGGGTGACTACAATGAGTTGTCGCCCTGCTGACCTACATTGGGCATGGCAGCCTGGCCAAGAAATGAGCTTCTGGAGCTGGGGTGATAGCTTGGTGACAGACCACTTGTCTAGCTGTGCAAGGGTCTGAGTTCCATCCCCAATATCACAAAAACAAAACAAGAGCCTCTGGTGTTCTAAGACACTGGGGTTGGGAAATCTCCTTCTGAATTATTTGTTTCTGCAACATGTCGTGGTCTAAACTAACCAGTAGAGACATTAAAGGATTTTTCAGTTTTCTGCTTATTTTTAATTTTCATTTGGGATCTGATTTTTCACTAAAACAGATAGTTAACAGCACTAGGTTTAAACAGTTTAAACAGTATTCAAAAAAATTAAATTCAAAAAATAAACTGAGACTCTCCCCATCTAACTCACTAAAAAAAAAAGATAGATAGATAGATAGATATAACTTATTTTAGTCTGTCTTGTCACCAAATGATATTAAAACACTTCTTCCTAATTTTCCGGAACACTGCATATTTATGTTAGTCAGGCCCCTCTGAATACACCATGAGAACACTAGGTCACAAGGGCCTCAAAGTATCATGGCTTTTACTCTTGACCTTCAAGCTTTCTGTAGTTCTTTGCTTCCTCAAGCATGAAAAGTCTTCCTCTACTTATGTTATTCAAACTAATTAAATATATGGTTTATTTGTCATTTTAGTCCTTAGTATAGGAAGTCTAGGCCCCATTCCCCTTCATAATTCTACCTTTCCAGCCCTGATTAAAGAAAAAAAAATGTGGACCCCTGTGAGAGCATCTGTTACTGAGTGCACAAACCTCAAATAATGCCCCTGACTCCTTTTTTTTTTTTTTAATGCAAAAGAGTATTTCTAGTTCAGGATTCTTTGAATATGTTAATTTAGTTTTTCTTGTTTGAGGAGAATATTCAAACCCAATATGTACTTTCTAGAATCCCCATGAATTTGCAATTGACACCAATGTAGTTCTTATTTTTAAATGTAATAACTATTTGTCAGATGAAAATGCTGTGCCAGAGTCTTCATGTGCTGATGTTTATGAGAGTATAAATTATCTGGGACTTAGATTTAAAAAAAAAAGAAGAAGAAGAAGAAGAAGGAGGAGGAGGAGGAGGAGGAGGAGGAGAGCCCCCCTTTCCCTCTGTCTCTGTTCTCTCTGTCTCTCTGAGTACAACTTTTGATCTTCTAATGAAAACAGTGGTGGGAGCAGAGAGAAAGAGGGAATCAGAGGCAAAAGTTGAGGAAGAAGAAAAGGAGGAAAAAGGGAGAGAGAGTTAGTGAAGGCGTTTCCCCACAGTGCTGTGTGAGAATCCTAGGGTTTAAGGCACTGAAGAAAATTCCTTGAAAGAGGGATCTCTCAATTCTGATCTTTGGAGCCTCTTACATCACAGTTTTATCTCCTTGTTGACAAAAATAGCATTTATGAAACATCTACTCTGTGCTTCTGTGCTGGCCACTGTGCTGGGTAAGAGGAATAAAAATCAAAGAACAATCTGAAAAAGAAGGACCAGGGATATAGCTTGCCTAGCATGCACAGGCCTAGTGCTCGGTACCCAGTACTGCAAAATAAATTAGTGAAAAAGACTAAAAATCACCATAAGGGTTTTCTCCACCCAGTGGAGTCCTGAGCTTTATGTCAAATGAGAAAGCGCCTGTGTTTCATTTTTGGAAGTGCACAGAGAGTCCACTCCAGAGTGGAGACAGAGAGGCAATCACTAGAGACATAAAAATATCAAGAACTTGAGTTAGCCATGGAGAGAGAAGACATACGGATGGATGCCAGGAACAAACTGCTAGTAGCAGAAATGACCAGAGGACTTTTAAGTCTTGAGTCCAATTCTTTCCATGTCTACGTTGTCTTTTCATTCTTTCATGATTCCCAAGGCTAGGTGAAATTCTTCACATACAAAGCAGGCTTATGATGTCTACAATGGAGCAAAGTGGCATGGGAAGAAGACAACAGCCTCAGGAAGAGAGAGACGCATAGAGCTTTGCAATGAGCAAGTAAGCACTACCTGTCACCCCGCAACCTAGGAGGATCTTGCTGCCCAAGCTTTAGGTCCAGAACCAGCAACACCTAGGATATTAGTAAAAATGTGTTCTCAGGTCCCCACTCCACACCTACTAAATCGGACTACATTATCACAAGATGCCTAAATGATTCACATTACACAAAAGCTTGAGATGCACTGCATGAAGGTACATCAGGGAAAATGCTGGACATCCCACAAAATTGCAATGGGATTCATTGGATGCATTACATTTTCCAAAACTGAGATATTGACAATTGAGTATCCCTGAAAGTCTATTCAGCTAAGAAAACAGAAATCTTAAATCTGGAGGTTTCATTTCCTGATAGCTAAGAACCATACCTATTCTCCTATACTATACTCTGGAAGCTTTTTTAGCAAGTGAGTAACAGGAAAGAGAGGCTGCTGTATGGCTGTGGCCACCCT